CCTTTTCTAGGGGCCATGCGGTCCCTTTGCTAGGGGCCATGCGGTCCCTTTTCTAGGGGCCATGCGGTCCCTTTGCTAGGGGCCATGCGGTCCCTTTTCTAGGGGCCATGCGGTCCCTTTGCTGGGGGCCATGCGGTCCCTTTGCTAGGGGCCATGCAGTCCCTTTTCTAGGGGCCATGCGGTCCCTTTGCTGGGGGCCATGCGGTACCTTTGCTAGGGGCCATGCAGTCCCTTTGCTGGGGGCCATGCGGTCCCTTTGCTGGGGGCCATGCGGTACCTTTGCTAGGGGCCATGCAGTCCCTTTTCTAGAGGCCATGCGGTCCCTTTGCTACGGGCCATGCGGTCCCTTTGCTAGGGGCCATGCAGTCCCTTTGCTGGGGGCCATGCGGTCCCTTTGCTAGGGGCCATGTGGTCCCTTTGCTAGGGGCCATGCGGTCCCTTTGCTGGGGGCCATGCAGTCCCTTTGCTGGGGGCCATGTGGTCCCTTTGCTGGGGGCCATGCTGTCCCTTTGCTGGGGGCCATGTGGTCCCTTTGCTAGGGGCCATGTGGTCCCTTTGCTAGGGGCCATGTGGTCCCTTTGCTGGGGGCCATGCGGTCTCTGTAGAAGCAGGGCAGGAGTATGGCCCCATGCTGGCAGTGAGTCTAACCTGTTCCCCTGCATGTTGGACTAGGGCAGGGCAGGCCCCTGACACATCGGGCCCTTGGGGCAGCCAAGGGGCCGCCAGTTTGGGGCCCAGCAGATTTTGTCCCTGCTTCTTCCACTCCTAAAGCAGCTGAGTTTGAAGCAGCTGGATGAGAATCATCTGCTCAGAGGTTCTGCTTCTTCAGCAGATTTTATGATGAGCCGTAGTTTAAACCAGTTCACAATGAAAACCCGAGGGGGAAAATAAAGCAGGATTTGATGAAATTATATTTTCTGAAATTATTTATAAATGATAAATGATGGTTTCCATGTAAAAATCCGGCGTTAGAAGTCTTTTACATTGTTTAGCAACATTTGGTCATTAAAACCATGGAGCTAGCAGCTAGCTAGCTTTCAAATATTTTAGCAGTTAAAATATAGTGAGCATATAACAAATACAAAGATATTAATTTAAAATTAGTGTTTAAACCCATATTGAGACATTGTTTGAACAACAGCAGAGTCCAACTGTTGGTTTTTGGACGTAGAGTGTGAGCAGCTAGATTGTGTTAGAGCCGCAGGCTGTAAGAACATGCATTATGATCGGTAAACTTTTAACCCTGCAGTTTCGTCGTACCGTTTGAGTTGTAGCTGCGTTCAAAGATTGAAAGTATGGCGCAGTGGATGCCTGGCTTTAGGTCAGGCTGTTTTTCTCGGTGTGTCTTCGGCTCGCCTGTTTTAAGGAGTACTGAACTTAAGCAGGGGTGAGGGATGGATTGTTGTGGCGTCCCACTCTCTCTGGAATCCGCGGATAAAGAGCTTTAATGTTTGTGGGTAGATGCCCCCGAGGGCAGTGGGGGCAGGATGCCACGTCTCTGTGAGAGTGTCTTATAGAGTGTTCTGTGACCCTTCTAGAGCTTTGGAAACTAGTCAGCAATGTCCCAAATAGATATAATGTCCTAAGGCATAACCGCAATAGTTATTTATTTTTATTTTTTTGTTCTACATATTTGCATTTATACAACAATGGAAGCTATGAAGTAAAACAGGTCTAAAATATATAAGGAGAGTGTTTTATTACATTTCCTGTTCATTAAGAAAAACCAAAGGAATTTCAGAATTTATGTAAAAATGTTTTTTTATTTAGCCAACATGCTAAATTGGGCAGAATACTTATTTTTGGCTTTAATGACATCATGAAACTGCTTTAAGCTTTGTTCTTTGGTCGGCCCCAAACTCCTTTGTCTGTGCCGCCACCAGGTGCTCTGAACGGTCAGAGGGGCTTCCTCGGCTGCATGAGGGCTCTGAAGATAAATGGCGTCCTCTTGGACCTGGAGAACAGGGCTGAGGTGACTCCAGGGGTGAAGCCTGGCTGCCAGGGCCACTGCAGCAGCTACAGGATGCAATGCAGGAATGGAGGGAAGTGTGTGGAGCGATATAACGGATACTCCTGTGATTGCTCTCTCACTGCCTACGATGGACCCTTCTGCACTGACGGTACCGTCTGTTACCTTTCCCTACAGGTGTGTCAATAATTAGACCTGTTTGATTCCTCCGTCTCTTTGTCTGCAGATGTTGGAGGCTATTTTGAAGCAGGAACCCTGGTGCGATACGATTTCCTGTCGGATCATGGTGCATCCCCACAGGGGGACCTAAATGTTGGTCGTTTAGGTGAAGCCAACCTCACTCAGGAGGAGCTGGTCTTCAGCTTTAGCACGCACAGCGCTCCCAGCATCCTGGTGTACATCAGTTCAAGGTCTCGGGACTATATGGCCGTGGTGCTGCGACACAATGGTGGGCAACACTACACAGTTTTAATCAGTTTATAAAACCCTGAGGCGTCATCATTGTCCCTGTGTGTAGGCTCTCTCCAGGTCCGGTACAGCCTCGGGGGACTACCAGAACCTTACACCATTGATATTGACCATCGCAACATGGCCAATGGACAGCCCCACTTCGTAAACATTACCAGACGCTTGAGGGAGATCCATCTCCAGGTTAGTGACTCCATTCAGTCTAAAGCGTCCGCAAGTCAGCCTAGAAACATAGTCCCTCAAGTGAGTCATGGGTCTCCTCTGGGTCTCCTCTGGGTCTCCCTCTGGGTCTCCTCTGGGTCTCCCCCTTAGTCTCCTCTGGGTCTCCCCCTTAGTCTCCTCTGGGTCTCCC